GGGGGGGGGAAACTGATAGGTAACCAGTGGATGGAGAGAAGCGGACACAATGGGGAGTAGGACGAGGCGTGAGTTGTTAGGAGGATGGGGGATGGCGGGGGAGGAAGAATGAGGCACGAAGCAAGAGGGCCGCGAGTCGTTGGATGTATAGTCGAGGAAGCCGATGGGGGAGGTTGGGCGATAGGTGGGGAGATTGGGGGGTTTAGTTTAGAATTGTTGAACAGGAAGGCAGGCGAGGAGGCGGCTTCAGGATCGCTCTCACCAAACAGATCGAAGTCGTGTTTTCTCGTGCTCGCGTCCTGTGTCTTCCCGCACCACACTTGGTTAATGCCTCTTTGTCCTCGGCGAAGAAGAAGATCTATCCACGTAGCTGAGTCTTTTCGAATCCCCAAAAGCGTTGCCGTTTGAAGCGTCTTCACTGCTCCGTATCGATGGTATCATGTGGAAGGTTGCTCGCCCTCTTGTTCCAGCCATGGAGGGCCTCCGCGCGCGCGCACTGAGCGGGGCGCGCTAGGTTCCCTTGTCAGGCTATGGCTGGGCTGGCAGGCGCGATGGTCGATGGGGGGCGCGGTTGCGCACGCAGCAGAACTGTGGACGCGGGCGCGCCAAAATTAGCGCTGGGTTGTGTAACCGGCCGGCGCGATCGCGAAAAAAATTGGACCTTCAGGCTGAGATGTGAGTTTTTGTCTTGAAGACAGTGGAATCATATGGTTGCAGAACACGAAGGTCTCAGACAGTCGGAGAACAGAGAGAGAATAGAGCGAACTGTAGCCAGACTGAGAGGTGTACAACGGGACAAATAGTTTTGCTAGAGCAAATATAGCAATGGGTCGATGAACCACTTAGTAAAAGTAGATTTCCCAGCAAAATCTTACAGGGGTGGAGCAGTGGGTAATCCTCCCTCCAACAGGGAGCCATCAATGCCGCTGTCTCAGGGTCTGTCCGGCGTCCGCCATAACGGAGAGGTGCGTGTAAGGGACGATGGACCTGGTTTCCAGCTAGTAAAGCTATAGAAACTTCTTTTTTGGGGTGGTTAAGGAGAGGGAGGAAGGATGAGGAGCAGCAGAGGGGAGGAGAGGGGGGGAGAGGGCAGAAGAGAAGGGAAGGGAGAGAAGGAGAGGAGAGAGGGAGAAAGAGCGACAGAGGGGGAAAGAGGTGAATGCGTATGGTTGCTCCTCGCTGTGACCAGGCAGGCACAACCGTTCAGGTAGGGAACCCAGAGTTGGAGTAAAATCAGGTTGGACAAGATAGGGTCTGGTGAATGGGTGGCTTGATGGTAGAGCGGAGGGTGCACATTCTGCTTATGTTTTTTTTTTTTTCGTCTTGTTTTGTTTTGTTTTTCTGCTTGTCAGCTGCTCTGCATTGCATTTGTTTCAATTTGTTTTTTCATTGGAAGATTTGCTGTTTAGCAGCCTCACCATCAGTTGAACGGAGGGTGGTTTGGGGAGAGAGCTATCTTCTCAGACATTGGAGGACGGCAGGTGAATTGGTCTCGGCCTCAGAGAGAGAGAGAGAGAGAGAGAGAGAGAGAGAGAGAGAGAGAGAGAGAGAGAGAGAGAGAGAGAGAGAGAGAGAGACGGGGGTGCTGAAGGGAAAATGAGTATCTTGTTTTTGTGAGTCGATAAGGGAGAAGTCAGTATATCTTTGAGCAGCCACTTCAAAGGATGTATGTGAAAATGGGCCAGCAGTGCCAGCACTTGATTTTGCAGAAGGTCCTTGAGCTGGAGGCTATAATGAGCTGAAAGCCTAAAAGCTATTTGGATCAAAGCACACGGGGTTAACAGGGGGTGTTATTTTTGGTGAATTTTCCACTGAAACTGTCATATTGTCTGGATTTCATTTGCCTGTTTTGTCTTGGGATGTTTGTACTATGAGCTTATATCGTTTGTTTCCAAGTTTCCCACTGGACTTTTTTGTCTTGGAGGATCGTAAAGGGAGCCTGATTCATTGAATGTGCTTGCCTTTCAGGGTGAACTGACCTGGGAAAGTGGTAATCGCTTTGTGGAAGAATGTCCACTGCTTGACCCATACGCACATCATGTTTCTCCTCTTATACAAGAGACAGGTAATTACTGAGTTCTTCGAGGAACATGCCGTTCGTATAATCCTTCCCTAACCCCCTTGCCCAACTCCTTAAAACTGCCAGTACACGGGGCCAGCCTTGTGAAGATTTCATTTCATCAGCAAACAAAAATTTTGGAGGCTCGGGGCTAGGACCACAATGGCTGGCGGCGCCAGCCAAAAACGAGAGTGCAACGCTGGCGATTCAGAAAAGTTTGGTGTGCAGTGCTATCTTCTCTCTTTTGGTTGGCGGCCGGCAGGCCAGGGTGTACTGGTGGTTTAAGCATGCACACAAACAATCATATGAGGAAAGTGATTTTCGAATTTTTCGTATAAAATGCAATGGCCTTTAAGGCAAAATTGATGGCAGTTGAGCTACCCATAGACACACACATGGACACACTCATCTGGGTGGAATTGGGGCTGTTGTGGGGAAAATTGAAAACACACATGGACACAATTACCCACCCAGATGACTCAATGGTACACACATGTAAGAGTTCTTAGGCAACATGTGACTAAATGACATGATGATAAGGGTGTAAAAGTGGGTGTGGGGCATGAATACTTCTGCAGATGCTTTGACATCAATACTGCTGAGAGAGATCAAAGCCGGCCTGGCTGAATTTTAGGTACAATGTCACACATGTATTTGTGAGTGAATGGCTTGTTCCAATCATACATGTACTTGTTAGTGGACGACTTGTTCGAATCATACATGTATTTGTTAGTAAACATCTCATGTTCGAATCTTGAAAGGAATCTGATGAATATGCACGAATACTACTAGAAGAGACCAAGGCTGGCCTTGCTGAATGGTACACAGTACTACACACACATATGAAATTGTTAACAAACAACTAATTTTTGAATCCTTGAAGGAGGAATCAGACGAATATACATCAATGATCAATTGAGGTGCCCCATTCTTTCAGGAAAAAAAAAGAATATTGGAGCAATGGAACAGCTATAGTGCTATTTTCTTGTTATCATCTGTCAAACGAAAGAAGTTGCACAGCAAGGCATATTGCTGACTCTGATTCTGTTGTTCCTTGTTTTTGTGATTTAATGTTGCAAACTTGCAGATGAACTTGGTCCATCTCCAAGAATGCTGGGGCTGCTTGTTCCAGATGAACCATCGTTCGATTGGGATGTCGATGTCCCTCCTAGGTGCGGTACAGTGAGTGAAAAACCGAGCTCTTGCTTGGAGCTCCTCCCCCCCCCCCCCTAATAAAGAATTTGCCTTTTGGACCATTTCTTGATTTACGCGTGTCATCCTTGTCGAGGGGCCGCTCTAATGCTAATCTTCTGTATCGTTCCAATTTTAACAGATGTCCCGAAAGACGCTTGCTTGGAGGCTCCTACGTTGTGGTTGACATGTATTTTTATTTTTCGGTCTGCTTGCCCGTCCAACGTTGTTGAAACTTCGAAAGGGAAATTCGGAAGTTATAAAACAGTTTTTGTTGAATGCTGTTTTTTGCCTCTGTTGTGGCTCAGCTTAGTGTTGTTCCTCAGTTCCAGTCTGCCTGAAAATCCCATGATGAAATCGTCTTCAAAGAGCACAGAGAGCTACTTGACCTATACAGTTGCAAATGAAAGGAGCATCATCCATCTATGTGCGCGTGTGTGTGTGTGTGTGTGTGTGTGTGTGTGTGTGTGTGTGTGTGTGTGTGTGTCCATCCTGAAACTCTCTTTCTCATTCCATCCTCATACCATCAGAAACTATCCATAAACAAAAAAAGTATAGATGAGCAATATGGTAGAAGGTGCAAGGTTCCCCATGTTTGTGTGGTTGAGCGGGAAATGCCCACACACCCGTCTGCCGCCGAAGCGGCACACTTGCACATCTCTATATGTTTTTTTTCAATCAATCTATAAAACAAAGGTAAAGGGCAGAAGACAACATACCGAACACAGAAGGCTCCACCAGCAAGAAAGCACCGACCAGAGGCAGCATAGTCCGGAGAAACTTGGAGAGCCCTCCGAGTCAGCCCACAAGCACAGCAGCACTGGCACTCCTATTCCTTCCAGTGTGTGTGTGTGTGTGTGTGTGTGTGTGTCTGTCTGTCTGTCTGTCTGTCTGTCTGTCTGTCTGTCTGTCTGTCTGTCTGTCTGTCTCTCTCTCTCTCTCTCTCTCTCTCTCTCTCTCTCTCTCTCTCTCTCNTCTCTCTCTCTCTCTCTCTCTCTCTCTCTCTCTCTCTCTCTCTCTCTCTCTCTCTCTCTCTCTCTCTCTCTCTCTCTGTTTCTCTCTCTCTTGTGCTCAGAGCCGGGAGTATGCTTGCTCACTTGCTTTTCCCAACCCCGCATGCCTCCCACCTCTCTTTCTCTCCCTCTCTCTCTGTCTCTCGTGCACAGAGACGGGAGCATGCTTGCTCACTTACTTTTCCCAACCCCGCATGCCTCCCACTTGCTAGCAAATGACTGTGTTTAACCACACTGGGTTGGAGTGGGAGTATGAGAAAGGATGGATTAATTACACACCAGAAACCAAGTGGCACAAAACACGGACAGTATGGAAGAGGCAGAGCAACAGATCCAGGTCCAGGGCAGATGAGCAGCTGTCTGGAACTCATGTGCCTTGAACGGGATCCAGAGGGCAAAGTTCGACTGTTCTTTCCCTATGAAATGGTGCGAATTTGATATGTACAAGTGCAGGATTTGGCGGCCATGGCTCCTCTGCTTGTGGAAGAATGAGAAGAGCTTCCTTTCTCCTTCCCCAGCTACGTCGTCTCTTCTGCTTATATAAGTCCAGTGTTGTCTCTTCCGCTTAGATAAGTCTAGTGTTGCTGGCATGAGCATACCATAGTAATTAATCAAATGGTTGGAACTAGCTTAATGGTTAGGATATAGCCCTGCCAAGGCTAAGATTGACAGTCAAAACCTCTTTTTCCTGTCGTCAGCTTTGCTGCCTGACCATCAGGCCAACGTAAAGAATCTAAGAACCAACCATCCTAACGCCTTCCCCCCTGGTTGGGCGGGAAAGGATGAATTGTTCACACCTGGCAGCTGGTTGTGTCAGAGGGTGAAAAACGCATGATGCAAATAGCACACTAAAAGAGTAGCAGGAAGCTGTGGGGCTTTATTAGAATTGCACAGCTCCGTCTAGCATTCTCTTGTCATACCGATGGTCATACCGATGATCACCACCCTTCTACCCCTTATACTTCTCAGGCAGACCCTTGAGGGCATGCTGTGTGGGTTTGTTTGTCTGCTGTGCTGCCAGCTTGTTTATGGCAATGGTGCTTGCATTGACGGTTGGCCCCAGCACAATCTGTGATGCGGCGTAAGGAAGATCCTGAAAGGCATTCCACGATGCAGAACCCAAATTCGAATATTCTTTTCGTGATCCCACATTGTGTGAGTCTCCCTGGCCGTCATGAAATCTCCGCCAATGCGGCCTGTGTTTTACATATGATTTTCTTTGTTAACAGGAGAATCATACTGATCATGTAAAACAAAGACCCTTAATACAGGCGATCCTAAGTGCAACGAAGTTGCCTCTACCAAGAAAATTCGGGAACGCCTTCAACTTTTTTGTCCGTGTGCCGGCACGATGTCTCGAAGTCAAAGGGCATATTCTACAGGCAAAGGTCATGTCTCATAGACAGAGAGGCACATTCCGTTGATGGAAAGTCGTGACTCACAGTCCCAAGCAGCAGCACACCGAGGGAAATTCGTGGAGGTACCAGGCCTCGACATTCTGAAGCAAATAGGCCGTGGGCATGTGGTACCAGATCCAAGTCAAACCAAAGGAAGCAGAGGCTGGGACGAGTGCAGACCCAGTCCAAGGCATTGTAAGGACTGGCCAGCCACATTTCAGATAGATGGCTCATTCGTGAGAAGTGTGGAAGTGCTGCTGATGCGCTTGTGCACAATCTGCTAGTTGCATGCGCGAGAGCCCTGCTGGGCAGCGCTTTGCTGAGAGGGAAGACGGCCATAGCCGCATAGCTAGTAGTAGGAGGTAGAGCTGAGTAGTAGTGGATGTATTCAGAGTCAAGATATTCAAGTAGAGAGAATGAGAGGGAGAGAAAGAGAGAGCGCATGCATGAAGAAGACAGAGAGGGAGAGAGAGGCAGAGAGAGAGAGAAGAGAGCGTCACCTACCTTAGATGAGGATGCTGGAATTGGGGTCGAACTCTGCGCTGATGGGCGCTTGGTGACTGAAACTCTGAAACTGTATAATATGGTAATTTGTTGGAATTTCTAAGCTGCGCTTATCTGGACTTTGCGTCTCTGGTCTCCAGTGTGGATTCGCGTGATCCCTCATTGTGTGTGTGTGTGCTCAAGGTGTCAAGCAGCGAGGCTCAATGCGATCTTGTTGGAGTATGAAAGCTCTTGCACGGGCATTGGAAGTGGATCAGAGAGAGATGAAAAGTGTCTGCCTCCTTTGCTGGCGGACACTGGGGATTGCCTGAAGATTCAAGATTGATTTCCCGCTGAAAGTTGTGATGGCGGCGGAACTATATGCTTGTTTGACTGTTTGATGCAGGCATCGCTTGGAGGAGCTTCTTGTGTACAGGCTAAGTATCCCTGGCTTCACTGCAGAGGAGTCAACCTCAGTGCCTGAAGAATTAAGGGGCACGTTCGTTGGGGTCCTTGACAAGGTGGATCATTTCAAGGAGCTGGGTGAGTCTTGCCCCAGTGTGGTTATTACTTCCCTGGATTCCAACTCATGATCTGTTTATCAACAGCAACATATGTCTACTGCGCAGCTACGAAGGCCGGGTAACTGTCTTCTTATATTTCAATTGTTGAGTCTCTGCAGTGGTGATTTTTATATCCAGGATTTGCATGTGATTGCCAGGTCCAGGGCCGGTTTTATGTCAAGTTCTCCAGGATTTGATTCTGCAGTCTGGACCTGGTTTCTCTGCACCTCTATTGTTGTCGGTGCGCGAATGCTACATCTTGGACCATGCAGGCTGGACAAGCGTGGTCCTTTTCAAACCGGGTCCAAGGCATAGCCGTGCAAGTGCTGTGTCTTGGCCCATGCTGGGTTGACCAGGGTGGTCCATGATCTGAACCTGGTCCAAGACATAGCCGTACAAATACCATGTGTTGGACCATGTCGCACCTCTGCTGGTCCAAGACACCATGGTGCAAGACATGGCCGTGCAAATGCTATGTCTTCGACCATGGTGACTGAACCAGGATGGTCCTTGGTATGAGCCTGGATGCTATGCACCATGATGATTTACAAGTGGGGGGCAAACATCCTGACTGTGTTGGACCAGGCCTGACCTCTCTGCGCAAGATTTTTGTTTGGAATCATACCAAGACTAGGACGGATGCACACATATGAGTTTGATCAGCATCGCGAACTGATTGCGAAAACCAGGTTTATATCCAGGATTTGATTCTGAACCTGGTATTTTGCGCCAGGATTTGCACCTGGTTTGGTGCACCCACTTGGTTTGTAACTTTGTATTCAGAGTCCGACATGAGATTTGCACCAAAACGTCTTTTTTCCCTGCAATTCTCGGGTCTTTCTCGCTCTTTCTTTGTTTCTTGAACATTTTTCTTTACACTGTTAGTTCTTGGTGAAATTCAGGAATCAATTATCACAATGATCATCCTTCCTGGGCCCAGCACATTCATTATGTTTGCAGGGCTGTCTCTCAATTAGGCTGTGTGCCGCCATCTTTGTCAAGGGATAGCGGCTGCGTGCCGTCATCTTTGTCAAGGGATAGCAATGAACAGATTGACTCAGATGTGAGAAAGAATTGAACTGGAAGAAAAGACCGGAAACCAAGATGAATGCAATATCTCTTGTCCTCATGTCTGGCCACCTCGTTCTTCGTCGAATTCTCAGGTAGTACTCAAGCTCGTAACGAGGGCGACAGGGTGAAATTAACATCTGGTCAACCTAACATCTGCGAAGCAAGAGTCACTTCTCCTCACTCTATGGACTCTCTTGCTCCTCTCTGTAACTTTCAACATAACCAGCATGGTCTTCCAAAGGGCAGCGCAGAACGCTTAAGGCCACTGATGCAGAAATCTTCTAGTGCACTAGAATGGGCAATACCTGCTCCACTAGCATGAAGACGGCTGGCAGTAGTAGCCTAGAGGGCAAGTGCCATAGCTAAAAGCTGCCAGTTTTGCAGGGGGGTCCTGCATCATAGCCATGAAGCTCCCCTGGCTATGTAACTCCTGCACTAGTCTGCCTGGCCACCTTCCTCAAGCAGCGCAGTAATGGCTTTGCACTGTGGAGTATGTGTGCCAACCTAATTTTTTTTAAGTAATCTGCAATATCTCGTTAGATTTGTGGTCTCTAGGCCCAAGTTACCCTGAGGCATGGCGAAAAGTATATGTGATAAGAATGCAATGAGAGGGTGGATGGGTCCCTAGTAATCCCTACACAAGCTTCACCTGCATTCACCTTGGCCTGTTAAGTACCACGAGTATCTACCGGCTGGGGCAGTCGTTAACGCGGTAGTCGAATCGGCCTGCCCCTCCGGTCAAATTCATTCGAATCTGGGGGGTATGAAAAATGTGGTAGGTACCGGTGGTTTAAGGACCACTAATGGAGCACATAGTTCTTTTTAGAAGGATATCATTCTTTTTAGAAGGATATCACTCCTCACAGCACCTGTGCAGCTTGAGGTTAACTACTGTGTAGTGACGATGAAATTTCTTGCAACAAAGATGTGTTGTATTGTGTACCCATGCTGGATGGAGTCCGTACCCTTGCACAACAGTAAAAAGGTGCTATCACGGTGAATAAACCAAGTAGTAAGAAATGAAGTTATCAGCAGTCGTTGCAATCCTTTCTGACTTGCATTTGGAATAGGACGGACTGATGCTGCCCAGAATGGAAAAGGAGCCAGAAATGTAAGGTAGCCAGGACCTCAAGGTTCTATTATTTTTTTAAGTTGTCGGCAGTGTGGTAGGACGTCGGCTCATTTCGGGTTATCCACTGGTATCAGTGGTATGATATTTTAAATTTTTAAACCTTAGCACTTTTGCTGCATTAGCCTACGAAAAAAAAGAGAACATTTGAGGTTCCTGCACGTCGGGACCTTCGACGAGTAATTTGTACTTGTAGAAACAGAAGAGTGTACAACCCACAGAACGGATCCTGTTCAAGTGTCTCCATGTCTGTTGCCTGCACATTTGTTGACTGGTGGATCCCTAACTGAATGTTCTTTGGGTTGGAAAAGAAAGAAAATGAGGGGAAGAGAGGATGCGGTTGGTCGAGTGTTCCCATAAGCTAATCTTCACTTTCTGTGCTCCTCCTCGAGTTCTTGCCTTGGTGCGCAGGTGTGAATGCTGTGATGCTGGCACCAATTACTGTTCATGATGACAAGCAAGGGCCCTATTTCCCAATCAAGTACGTCAGCCGTACTGGACATTACTGACAAAAGATGTAGTAGTAGACAGTCTGCTGGTTGTTACATATTTTTGCTCTGTCCAGTCCGCACTCCGCAGTTTCTGTTTTTATTTTGTCCTTGCCCTTTCAGTTGCAAACCAGACCTTGAAATGTTGCACGAGGAGAGGGTTGGATGACGGTTGTGTTGAGGAGGAAAGGAAGACGAGGGGAAGAGCAGGAGGGGAGGGGAAGAGAGGAGGGGAAGAGGAGGAATGGGAACACAAGAGCAGGAGGGGAGGGGAAAGGAGGGGAAAAGGAGTAGAGGAGGAAGGTGGGTGGAATGCGAGCACAAAATATGAGTCTGGAGCAGCATGATGATCGATGATGACCAGAGGGCAGGAGCAGGAGGGCACTAATGAGTATGGAACATGGTGATGAGGGGAGGAGGAAGAGGAGGATGTGTAATAGGAGGATGCAATGTGAGTCGGGAGGAAAGGTACGAGAGGGTGGACTTTTTGCAGATGGTATGATATACTGGCCAATGGCAGCATAATGGTGATGCACGATGACAGGTGGGCAGATGGGGAGACCATGGGAGGACAAAATGTGAGTCGGGAGAGGAGGGGGGGTACGTACAATATGGTGGCCAATGGCTGCATAATGGTGATGCAAGAGTTCCAAACACTGTCCTCCTCCCCCCCCACCCCCAGCTTCTCTGTGATCTCACTGTGGTGAGGCCTACCAGAGCAGTCTTCCAGGGGGGGATTAGTTGATGTGTCACACAGTCTGACTTCCCCTGTATTGACAATCAGCCCTTATTGATAAGCAGAAAAGCGTTTCATTCAGTTAGTAAATGGAGTCAAGGCGTGCCATCTCCTTAGTATTGTAAACATAAGTTTCATGGTGTGGTGTGATGTCTCTTCTCTGAGTTTTGTTATCCATTCATGCTTGTGTCCAGTACTTGATCCATTTATGCTTGTGTCCAAGACACTGAAGTGCAGAAGAGTCCCTCTGCCTGTTTTGTGTTGGGACTGGGGAGCATGCATGTCTGACCCATCAAGCCAGGCTCGATCTACATGGGTGAAGAGTCACAGGAGATTCAGCTTGTAATCTAGAGTAGTCTCAGTTAATTGAATTCTGCATTTCGTCTTTGGCATGCATGTGTAGTGGTGTACCCACGAAGTTATTGCAAAGCAAAATGGTTGACACCATTATTCCTATCTTTCAGGACATGGTAGCGAAGAAGAGATAGCTCAAGAGACTGCATCTCTTCCCTGAGCATGATGGAATTTTTTTTCTCTCTCTGATGATGCCTGGAATGTTTATGCTGTTAGTGTTTGGTTGCTGAATGCATGTAAGGTTCTTGATCTGGGTGTTTGTTTTGTCTCCTACTACGTGTTGGTGTGTTTTGTGCAAGTTCTTTGTCTATTTGCTTGCTGTTTTGGTTTGTCTGTCTGTGTCTTACAGCTTTTTTGCCCTGATGCCTTGCTATGGTGTAGACGGAGATGTTTTCTCCGCCAGCGCAGGGCTTAAGACCCTCATTCGGGAGCTTCATGTCAATGGCATGGAGGTGGGAACCTCTGTTGCACGCACAGACTGTGTTCGTTGTTTTCTTCTGTTCTTTCGTCTCTGTTCTTTTTTGTTTTTTTTGAAGTCACGTGTTAACATTTCTTTTGAGCACCATGAAATATTTTGAAACTCCATGATATGTTATGATGAATTTGTGCCTGATAAAATTAAGAAAAATTCAAAAAATCATTTTAGAATCTAGATATTGATTGATACGATATGTCATATCGCTCTTTGGTTCAGCTTCATATTCGAATTTTAGAATTTAGAACTTCCACTTATTTTGTCTTCACAATTCTCCTGTCACCTAACATGCCTGTCTGCAAAATCTTCGGTGATCTTCTTAGTCCTGTCCTTTTTTTTTTTCCCTTTTTTTTTTAAACAGAACCTTACGGTTCTGGCTCCTTTTCCATTCTGGGGAGCATCAGTCCGGTTCCTATTCTCCCCCGGCAAGTCAAACGTAGTACAATGGTTACCCACTCATACTCCTCCCCCTTATGGCGTGGAGGCCCTGAAGACGGTATTGATTACTTACTTGAAGAAAGATGTACCGATCTTCACACCTGCCTAAGTTGGCCTGTTCAAGACTGTTGTTGACCTTGGTGACTATAACTGTTTGCTGCTTGTATTTGCTTGGCAAAAAACATGTTTCTTTTCAGTCTTTATCTAGGCTACGATCTGGGAGGCTAGGGTACCCCCTACCTTGCCCTAGACCCGACTGGGACGCCCGGCCTGGCAGCCCGCCCTGTCCAACCCCCGGGCTACCCAGCGCAAAATCGCGCGCAGGGTTCTTTCGGGTTTTCTTCGCCCCTGGGCCACAGAGACGGGCACTCCCTGCTGGGAGTCGCCAGGGAAAACAATTGGGGCCCAGCAGGCCCATTTTTTTTTCTATTGTAATCTGCGCCGTTGATCCAAGATGATCAACGGCCCGGGCTCAATCAGGGTTCGGATTCGAATTTCGCGCCTGCGGTTCGAATTCGAACTTCGCACTGATGCAGCATCCCGCCCGCCTTGTGTAGCCACCCTACCGCGCGCCCTCCCGTGGCCGTCGTCGTTGTTGTGCAGTCCATCGGTGTGCCCCCGCATGTCCTCATCGTGGTTGTGCTGTCCCTTAACGCGCGTTGCCCCTGTGTGTCATCATCGTGTTGGCCATCGCTGAAGGTGAGTTCACTGCATCCCCCTCCTACTCTCGCCGCCCCTCCGTCCTTGACCATCTCCTTGTTCTTCTACTCCTTTAGACGTCTTCCTCCTCTGGTTGTACTTCTTCTTCTGTGCTGCTTCTCGCCGTCATCGTCACCCTCGTGCTTTCTTTGTTGTCCTCCTTTCTTCACCAACGTCCTGCTTTCCTTGTCCACCTGCTTTCTTCGTTCTTGTTGGTGATGGTGTGTGATGTGGCGACGGGACGGAGAAAGGAGGAGGAGGAAGAAAGGAGTTCGTGATCCGAATCATGAACTTCTTCTTTTCTCTTCCTCCTCCTCCTCCTCCTTGCTTGCTTCTTCCCCTCATCGTCCTCCTTCTCCTCCTTTCTTCCTTCTCCTTCTCCTCCTCCTCCCCCTCCTTTCTTCCTTCTCCCCCCTCCTTGCTTCTTCGGAGTTCTTCCCCTCTTCCTTTCTTCTTCTCCTCACTTAATTCTTTTTTATTTTTTGGTTCGCGTTAGCGTCATCGTCGACAGTTTTGTCGCCGTGGCGAGACTGGGCCACGTGGCGACAGGGTGATTGGTTAGTAACTTAGGAGGGAGATGGCGTTCGATGGAAGGGTTGGGAGGGGACCGGGATGTCCACGTATGTCCGCATGGCGAGACAGGGCGGATGTAAATGATGAGAAGGGAAAAAGGAGGGGGAAAGGAGGTGATGGCACTGATTGTGGATACCACAACTGGTTGCTTGGACTGGTATCAGCAACCGCAGAACAACCCCACCCCCCCCCACACCCCCCCACAACCCCCCACACCCTCCCACACCCTCCCACACCCTTTCCCCCTCCCTCCCCACCTCCCCCAACCCACCAAAGCTCGCTCTACAAAAAACAAAAAACACAGCGGATTTGGACACTTAAGTTATAGCGCAAAAATGTGCGCCCAGGTGCCCCGGGGGAGTCCGGGCAGGCAGCCCGGGCCCGGGACACCTGGCCGGGCGGGCACGGCCGGCGACTTTCGTAGCCTAGATCTGTATTTCTCTGTCGATGTAGTCTGTGGGATGTCTATGCTTTCTAGGACCGTAGATGAGGCATGACCCTTCACTCTACTTCCGGACTCCCTGTGTAGTTTTGATTGAGGATGTCGTCTAAGGCTAAAACCCTACACCCTAGCTTTTGAGTCTTTGACAGTATTCTTCTCTCGGGGGTTGTTCCTTGAAGGTATCAAATGTTGATAGGTGTTCTACTTGAAGCCTGGGTAGACTCTAATTGGAGTTGGTGGGATAGGAGAGGGGTTGATGGGGATAAGGAATTTTAGATAGGTGCTAATTATGGGATGAATGCTAGACGTGGAAGGGGGTAGGGGAAGGGGGGGGTGTGAGTTGATTTTGTGATTACTCGGATGTGTTTAGGGTATGGAGGAGGGGTGGTTGTAGGAAGTGCGTGGAAGGGCGGGGGCGGGGAGATTGCTGCTATGTCGATGGCTACGGCGCTTGCCAGAGTGTTATGAGGTTCGTTCGGTATTAATAATGGCTGCCATTGGCTGGGGTATAGGGGGTGGTGGCTGGTCAGGAATTGTTAGTATACATAACCAGTTCTTGAAGGCGAGTCTAACCAGTTCTTGAAGGCGAGTCTGTAATTGTTTATTGTGTTATGATCCTGGCCAATTTCGAAGTACACATTCATCAGATGGTATAATGCCGTCCACTTGCAAAAAAAAATGAATGAACTTGAGAGGAGAGAGGGTAAGAATAAGAAGTAGAAAGAAAGAAGAAGAATATGATGTACACCAGCATAGACAAATGATAAAGCTCTTCTTCTTCGCCAAACACTCCTCCTTTATTCCTCTCTTATTCACACAAGAAATAACTGAATTTAAAAAAACAAACCATCTCATTTAGAAGTTATGATAGTGCAATGTTGAATGGCTGAACCAGAATCAATGTCCGAATCCCTCTTCTACTGCAGGTATCACTTGAGGTCCACCATAGCCATGGCCGCCTCCCTCACTCTTCACTCTCATAGGCCGAGGCTATGGCGGACCACTCAGGCCTTGCCGTGATGTCCAAAGGACAACGCAAAGCAGCTATGGCTGCTCTAGCTCAGGCCACCATGCCTGACTCTGCCTCGAAGCTTCTTGGTGTAGCTCTCCCCAAACGGGGACCTTCCTGCTGCAGCGCCCACCAAGGTGATGAAGATGGCTTCCACCATAGCCAGGTAAGTACCTCTGGCGCTCCCTTCCTCCTGGTCTTCTTCCTCCTCCGTGTCCTTGCTCCTTCCCCAGCAGCACTGCTCCAAGCTAGTGCTGCTTCAGCCAGCGCTCCAACCAGTGTGTTGCCGAACTTACACACGGACAATGAGGCCGGGCTCTTCGCCCGGCCTGGAGATACAGCGGCCTGCTTGCCTCTTGGCCGGTGACTTCCAGGCTGCTCGACCTTCCAAGCAACCGGTACCTCCTCCCTTTCGGAGGGAAACATCATTGCAGACTCTGATATTGCCCGTACAGGCCCTAGACTCAGACTGGTTGGACTGGTACCCGCCTAAACCTAGCCTACAACTACTGGGCCTCTAAAAATTCCACTTTCGTTTTCTTCTGCTCGGCCTCGAGTACCCGGCACATCTACCTCTTCAGGGTGTGGTACCGGCCTTCCTCCTTGAGTGTTTTCCCGCTGCTTCAAGTGTTGTGGGCCTCTTCCCCTGCCACTTAGTATTTTCCCTGCTGCAATTCTCAATGTCACAGATGTCACGGCCACAGTAAGTACCGGCCCTGAGGGCCCAACGAACGAACAAGTGCCCTTGCGGGTCACACACACACTCAAGCCATCAAGCACTCAGACAGAAATGCAGACCAGCAAGCATGCACACACACAGACTTAGAGAACTTAGTAGCAAGCGGGAAACTCGGCAAGGCATTCAGTCCATGAGCGAACTCAGAAATCAGCTGTGTGTTTCAGTCCGTGTTTGGTCGGCTCATCACAATTGTGCCTATTACTGCCTAACTGCCCTTTTCCTAGTTTGAAGGTTGTGAACTTATTTTTTCCGCTTTTTTATCGGGGTCGGTAGGGAGTTGGTTGAGCTGTTTTTTTCAAAGGGCGTGAATTTCCGTATCTATCAACTGTTTTATTGTGAATGGGTACTCTAGGGAAGTGAGGCGGTCACATCTGTTTCTCCATATGGTCCAGACTCCTCAGAGTGCTTTTGTTAATGAGTGAAGAAAGGAAGGCCTTGAAACCCTTGAGTGGAGGGGATTGTTTGAGTTTGAGGAATAATGTGGCGGKMWTWKRAARKGCTGTCACATCTGTTTCTCCATATGGTCCACAGAGTGCTTTTGTTAATGAGTGAAGAAAGGAAGGCTTCGAAACCCTCGAGTGGAGGGGATTGTTTGAGTTTGAGGAATAATGTGGCGGGATTAATTAAGAGGTAGGTTTGTGTTTTTGTTCCATGAAACCTCGATTGCTTGCCAGATAGATCTGGCTTTTGGGCAATCTAAGAAGCAGTGAATCAGGTCATCTTTGGATTGGGTGTTGCAAACTTTGCACCAGGAGTCTTGTGCCAGTCTGTGTTCTTGGTTGCGTCTGCGTGCCAGCCATTGATTTACTGGTACTGCTCTGAAGACTATTAACCATCTTAGACTGGCTATCTTGACCGGTCTTGTGTTGAAGATTGAGGCCCAGGGGGGGTTGAAGAGGGTGTTGGATAGTTACGGTTCCTCTTTGTCCACCTATTGTGAAGAGTGTTGGCTATAGATATAGGTTTGGTGAATAGGCGGTAGCCTCATTTGGGTGTAACGAGTCTTGGGATAGGGGCGAGGCGGGCGGAGGTATTCCATGTCCATTCTGTAGGGTCGATCTCTAGGTTCTGTACGCTTAGTTGGGGTTTTTTAACTCTGTTTATTTTTTCTTCTATGATTCTGATGCCTCTCAGGTTTCTGGTTCTGAAGGAACCTTCTGCTCTGCTTTTTAAATTGATGAGGCTTACTGGGTTTCCTTGTTCATCTAAGGTGAAGATATCACAGCAGATCCAGTTGCTGTCATGAGTTTCATAGTCCTTGAAGGCGAGGACTTCTGTTGGGGAGTCATTAGTGGTGGCCCAATCGCCGTCCTGCCATTTTTGTTCCGATCTTAGCAGATGTCTCCAGAGTAGGGGGATGCAGTCAACAATCTGGTTTATGTTTGTTTGTAGGTGGTGTACTCCTTTTAGTTTGGCCCGTAGGTCACTTTCCGATTTCCATTTTTTGCGAGGCTCGTCCCATATATGTTCGATGCGCCAGATTCCTGATCTTAGCAGATTTCTCCAGAGTAGGGGGATGCAATCAACAGTTTGGTTTATGTTTGTTTGTAGGTGGTGTACTCCTTTTAGTTTAGCCTGTAGGTCACTTTCTGATTTCCATTTTTTGCATGGCTTGTCCCATGTATGTTCGATTCACCAGATTCCTTTTTCAGCCGGTGTCCCCTTTTGATTTCTGATTTAGAGAGAGATGCTTTCACCTCCTTCCTTTTTTATCCATGGGTTGCTGAAAAGGGGTTGTCTGAGGACTTCATCTTTCCTATTGGGGCCTGTTCTATTCTCTGGGAAGATTATTCTCCAGATGTGTAAGATTTGTTCCCAGAGGGATTTTGTCTAAGTTGTGTCGTTGGAGTTGACTTGCTCTGCCAGGTCAGGCTGTCTTTGTTTCCCTTTCGGGAGTGGCCAATGTCAAAGCCCAGAAGAGACCTGGCATATTAGTAGGAGATTTGAAGGGTGTAATTCATCTGATATGGCTGAGACCTAGTGGGATCCAATGTAGATTGTCGTGAGGGGTTAGTCTTACGATCCACTTAAATTGTGGGGCTTGAATTTGGCGGGCTGGGTCTATCAGGCCTAGGCCTCCTTTGGTTTTTGGGCTAGTAATTGTCTGTGTGCCAGGCTACCTTGTGAATGAAATGTTGTTTATCTGGATTGCCTGTCCAAAGGAAACCCGCTGTTTTTTTCCTCAGCTGGTTATGGAAATTGGTCGACGGGAACCAAATGGAGGTGGCATACCACATCATGTCTAGTATTTAGTTGTTGAGGGCCAGAACTCTACCTAGGAGAGAAGTGTGTGTGGATTTCCAGGTGTGCATTCTGCTGATCATTGCAGATAGTAGGGACGCTGCCGATGTTTGGTGACAACCTTTTAGAGTGAGATTAATTCCTAGAAAGCGGATTGGTGAGTCAGGATGTGGGGAGTTAGTTCTGTGGGGCTTCTTAGTTTCTCCTAGTTCTTTGCTTTGCATCTTTTTGATCTTGGCCATTCTGGTCTATAGTCTGTGTCTATCAGTGAGTTAATAGGCATTCTGCCAATCCTCTGTGGATGGTCTCTTAGCATCTAGTTTCTTCTATATCATCCATGGGGCAGACTGACTCCCTCTTTGAAAGAAGACCTTCTCGTACCTCAATCAGCCCTTAGGAATCGCTAAGTGTCAGTAAGTACAAGGGCTCTTCCCACATGAATAAATATACTCATGTTTATTATTCATGTTTCTTTTTAATTTAGTACCCATGAAATCAGCCATAACACGTGCTATAAATGGACGAGATTTTGACAAAACATGGAGAGGATGAAGCAAAGGCTCATCTATGGGTTGTGAAATCTCGGTAACATCTTGAACAGGGGATTGAAATGGTGTATTATTTATTGTAGTTACTACTTATACCATTGCCAGAAAATTTGGGTGATATGGTAGAGGTAATGGGTGGGAGGTTTTCCAAATATTCCTATTATGGGTAATCAGAAGTGGGGAAGGAAATGTCCTTCGGGACATCCGTTAAAATTGGAATGATACAGAGAAAGAAGATTAGCATGGCCCCTGCGCAAGGATGACACGCATAAATCGAGAAATGGTCCAAAAAAATTGAAATAAAAAGAAAAAAAAGAAAAAAAAAAGAAGTGGGAAAGGGAACGGGCTGAATTGTCCTTGTGCCCAGGCATGTAGATGTTCAAGCGGCCGCTACTATGTTCTCCCATGCAATGATTTTCAATTAGTCTGTGTTGACTCTATTCACACGATCATGTTCTTTCTTACAACAGTTAACTTAATGCATTCAACGACTTAAGACCACAGGGCTCAGAAGGCGAGGTGGTTGTTCTTCAGCTCATGCTGCTGGTGTTAGCAAGCTGTGAGGATGATCATCACATTGCTGTTGTTGCTCTTTAACACACAAGAAGCCCGACATCAACTCACAAGGAATTGATCCTGTGACCTGTCACCGAAGAGGTAGGTGCTCTTAATCATCCGGTTAGCGAGATGGGATGTAAGTGAAGCCCCTCATGGGGCATTTCACCCCCCCGGCATGGATATTCATCCATGACCTGGTGTACCCTGACTCAGACTGGACAGAACCGAGTGTGAGGGGTCGCTAAGGGCAGTGTTGAAAACCAAAAAGCTCTTATCGTTGGGCGAGCCTCATGAGATAGTGGCGGATGTATGGGATTGCAGTGGATGTGGAGACTTCATTCTCCCTTGCCAATCAATCTGTGGTCCACAACTCTTTGCCTGTTGAGATGACCATGGCGAAGATCACTAGAATTCGCAAGATACGATGTTCTTCTCGGTCGGAGTTCTGCATAGACCCAATTAGTCTTGTGTTCCATTTGTATTGTTTTCCTCTTTCCAAGGGGGTATCCCCTAACATTATTATTATTATTTTATTTTATTTTTCTTAAAGAAATCCCTAACATTGTTTCTAAATCAGGCAGATGACTGGAATCTGGATGTGTTTCAGCAGTTTCATGTGCGTGGGATTCAGCAAGAGGGTGTTGTAATTGCAGGTCCTGCTTGAGGTTTCATACTGCCACACAGCCGAAGGGAGTGATGAAGAACCCATCAATCTCTCTATGCGAGGAATCGACAATGCTACATATTATATTACGGACAGCTTTGGCCAGTGCGTCCCTCTCTCTTTCCTCTGTTCGCCAGCTCTCTCTCTCTCTCTCTCTCTCTCTCTCTCTCTCTCTCTCTCTCTCTCTCTCCCCTGCCGCTCTAAAACTTTTGATCTTGAATTCGTGATAAACAAGGCTTTTGTGCCATTATTTGTTTGTCTTTCTTTGTTTCGTTTTTGTTTTTGAAGTTTTACATGTAGAAGCAAAGTTTTGACCAACAGCAGGCAGAGGGTCGAAGGCCTTTCCCCAAGTGCACAAGGCCGAAAGGCTGCAGGGTATGCTTTCCCAAAAAGCTCCAGGGGGCTTGCATCACAGCTCCAGGCACGCAGTGCAGCAAGACATGCTGGGCAAGCCTCTATGAATGTGCTTTTGTGGCACGCTTTGTTTCTACTGAGTTTGCCCTTCACTAACCATTTTGTGTTTTTCCAAATTTATACTTTGCGCAGTGCTTTATGAGGCCCAGTAGAAGAGGGCATGGAATGAACTGGGTTTCTAGTACATATAACCGCAACGCGAGAAACTGAAGTGATGCTTGAAAAAATAGAAACAGTATCATTGCAGTCTCTCTCTTGCACACACACACACACACACACACACATACAAACAATCGTGCTTGTCTGTGGAGTTGTGTATTTAATATGATAACACTGCCCACCCCCTCCTCCCCCTCCACCCATGTGACCCCCCCCCCTCCTCCCCTAATGCCTCCCTCACCACTTGTCAGTAAGACTCTTCAGGCATTAATCTGGGCGGTACATGTTATGATGGATGGTTTGAATGTGCAAGATTTCTCGCTGATGCATGTGCACACATACAGGTGGATGTGAATATGTACCCTGAGGGCTTGTCACAAACCCACTTCGAACGCTTACATGTTCTGCTATAGTGGTAGTGTTGCCTCTTTTATACTTTTCATTGTTTTCAAGTTATTCTGCTAATCCTGTCGAACTTTGTGAGGACTTAGGTGCCATGCATATTCTTTTGTGTACATGGAAATACGGCTTGAAATTTCCAAACACAACACGATTATAGAGCCAAATGGAATAAGCTGCTCCTAAAATCATTCCAATGGCTGCTAATGTTGCCACGTTGGGCGYAGCTTGAAAAGCGCCTACTAAAATCAAAAACTCACCAATAAAGCTACTAGTGCCTGGCAGACTAATATTGGCTAAAGTAAAAAACAGGAAAATAGTAGAGAAGATAGGCATTGTACTGACTAAACCTCCATAATATTTAACAAGTCGGGTTTTATGTCGATCATATAAAGCACCTACACATAAAAAAAGGGCTGAAGRAACCAGTCCATGACTTAACATGAGTAAAATACTACCTTMAATTCCTTGTATATTCAATAGAGTGAAACTTCCCCACTGAGCAAAACATGCCAGCGGTACTCGAGTCCTCTCCGAACCGTACGAGATAGTCACCTATCATACGGCTCTGAGGCCATAAATCATCTAGCTTTGCATCTATTAAGTCAGTGTAAACCTTAGCTGCTGAAGAAGCTTAGCATCTGAGAGCAAGCCCGAATTCTGGTTGAAGCCGCTGAAGTCTAAAAGTTTCTAGTGCCGCAGTCTCGAGGACAGATAAATTCAAGAGAGTTTTGTGATCAATGCTGCCCGGATAGCTTCCCAGATCTAGAAGAAGTATAGTTCCAAGATAGGCCACAGTTGTCTAAACAAGGCAAAACTCTTGCACACCATATAGGCTTGACCTTTCGTTATATAGCAAATGGAGGGGCAAACCAGGTTTTGTCCGTTGTGGGCATATATTCTTGAGCGTAAATAGAGAACAGAAAACAGTATGGCCAGGTTTGGCTATTCCACACGCCATCATTGGATCTGACTCCGTTGACTCTCGTTTGCCTGGTTGTAATGCAGTTTGGTGAGGACAGGGAGTTCCGGCAATAGCTTGAACTGCAACTACCCTCCTGTGCAGTCGCTGGTAAGTAGTAATATTTATCCTTCTCCTCCCAACGAACCAACATAAAAAATGTATGCCGAACGACGTCGACATGCACAAGATGATGCAGAACTGTGGCTCTATGGGTGATAACTGTGACAAACATAATCTGTTGACGATGTAAATTCTGCCAACAAGGGGATGCCCACCGCATCTGCGGCGGGGGCCAACGGGAGCGGTGGGGGGGAGGAAACTGCAATGAGAACGAATCCTCCACCAGATCACGGAAAACAGTTGGTGAGTAGTAGAGCAAGGCCCTCTGTCAGACGTTCGAGCGCGCCGCACCTGGAAAGAGCTTTTTCACATCCATGAAGGGCAAAGGAGGTTCAGAGTCCCAGCGAGAGTTCTTTCCAGGTGAGCCGCGGTATCTTAGGGGCTTGCTCCACTACTCTCGACATGGACAAAATACAAAAATCATGGCAGTGATGTTCGAGCGGAAGATTCACTCTCATTTTGCACATGTACACGCCCCCAGGTTTTCTGTCTTTTGTGCATCTGGTGAAGCCCACTGGCTGTGGCATCGCATCAAGGCTGTAGGAAAAAGAAAAAGACAAAAAGTAGAAACGGATCTACAGAAATGACACAGCGAATCTACTTAAAAAGAAAACAACAACGAACCTGCACTTGGAAACTGCCAGCGCAGAAACGGCGCACCACCCTTAAGAACAAAAAACACACAAAGGGAGAGCCCCAGCCCTTCCAGAGAGTTCACACGTAGGGAGAACGAATCTTCCCCTTGAATATGGAAAGATACACCACCATATTTTTTTGTCTTTGTGCATGTAGAGATTAGTGGGGTCCGCCTGCTATGTATCTGTATTCGAACGTAGGCGGAGGGGCGAAAAGTGTTGTTCAAAACGTGTGTACTTGCATTCGAACGTGGACGGAGGGCAGAAAAAAAAAGAAGCGTGTCCCACATTTTTCATTGGGCCTGGCCCGGCCCGGCTCCCCAGCCCTTGTTCCCAACACTGGTGCTCTGGGCCTTGTGGGAGCGGTATGCGAGACCCTCAATTTTCTGCCAATGACGCAATTCACTAGACGAGGGTGATCTGAATTGGGAGGGGATGCATGTGCGGCACGCGATTGACAATGTATGATAGTATAAGATTCCACTGGTGATGTATATTACTATATTACTATATTCAATCTATCATGCAACTTAGCAGAGGACGTTGCTGCCAATTCACTGCAAGATGAATATGGATAATGCCTCTGATGGTGGTAATATACACTGGGTGGATATGGGTGCAATGTGGTATGATTTGAAAAGCATGATTCAGATGATAGAGTTTATGATTCTAGAGTATTTCTCGAGTGGCTCTACAGGGATTTTGGTGACATGGAGGAGCAGCGATTTGACGTATGGAGGTGCAATAGCATGTGAATCATAGGCGACTAAGTTGATCTCCGCTCCTTTTTCTTGAAACAAATCTTTGAGCATCTTTTTGCCGAGGTGGAAAAGAACGGCGTGCGAAGCTTTGCTGAGGCAGCAGCACGACGTCTAGTTTTTTTTTGTTTGGCTGGCACTGCCAGCCATTTTGGTCTGGTGCCGCCTTGCATCCGAAGTTTGTGTTATAGGTTATACCGCATTCTTAGGAGCTTTCAAGTTGCCTGTGAAAGGTAGTGGTGGTTTTTGTTGTTTCGAGCATGTTGATGTACAGAGAATTTTTGTTGTTTCGAGCATGTTGAAGTACAGAGAAAAATAGCATTAAATCTACGTGCAAGGATGGCGGGGACTGGAGGAATGCCTCAATGGAGAAAAAAGAAAAGGAGAAGGGCTTTAGGAAGGAATGGGGGAATTCTAGCCATGCACAGACTGGACCTCATTATTCAGTAAAGTACTAGGAAGGGTAGGAGTTAAATTAAATGATGCGAGAAGATGTGAACAAGTAACAAAGATGAATAGAAGCACAATCAGGAGGAAGAGAAAATGAGGAAGGAAAGGAGGAAGAGCGGAAGGAAGAGGGTACGAGTCCACGAGGGGGAAAAGATGTGGGAAATGAACCGGAAAGAGGCAAGCAAGAAATGCAAAGCTGTCTAAGATTGTTTTGCCTGAATCATGGTGTTTGAACAGGTGCTTGATAGCCTGCGGCATTGGGTAATGGAGTACCATATTGATGGTTTCTGCTTTGCAAATGCTGGAGCACTGTTGCTGGGCCCGAATGGCGAGCACCTCAGCAGACCGCCGCTGGTGGAGGCAATTGCATTTGATCCCATTCTTTCAGATGTGAAGCTAATCGCTGATCTTACCTTCAGCGAGGTATGTGCCCAGGCACAGACTTTGCTTTTACATCTCTCTCTCTCTCTCTCTCTCTCTCTCTCTCTCTCTCTCTCTCTCTCTCTCTCTCTCTCTCTCTC